CCAGGGATGGGACTCAGTTCCTTGTGGGTCCTTCCAACTCAGGATATTCCAAGATTCTCTGGAGATCTCCGCTCAGCTTTGTGCTGTGGTTTGAGGCTGAAGATGGTGTTGATGCTCTCACTGTCTGCAGGGAGCAGAGAGCAGCATCCATGGGGAAATAAATTACATGTGTCTTGGGGAACCTGGAAGATTTGCTAAGGAACAGCAAGAAAAAGATTTTGTGTCCTTTGTGCCTGCATTTCTATGGCAAACAGAGTTCATGAACCGACAAGCAGGTGGTGCCTCAAGAAAAGAAATTAGGAAAGTAAAAGGAAAGGAGAAAATGTTGGAATACTTGGCTGCTGGAGCTGGAAATGGGAATGATCACAGAATCATTTCAATTGGAAAAAACCTTCAAGATCATTGAGTCCAGCTTGAGGCTGTTTCCTCTTATCTTGGCACTTGTTCTCTTGTCATCCAAGGATTTCCTGCATCTCAATGAAAGGGCCTTTTTTATGGGAGGCTTTTGAGGCCATACTTTATACACACTAAAGCAAATCAGTGGAATTCTGGAGCAGGAATTGATAATTTCCTTCACTTCTCAGATATCCAGGCTGTTACAGAAGGATGCAGAGCAGGAATCCCAGATGAGAACCGAGATCCAGACCATGAAGCAGGAGCTTGCCACCATCAGCATGATGGATGAGTTTGCCAGATATGCCCGGCTGGAGAGGAAGATCAACAAAATGACTGACAAGCTCAAAACCCACGGTACAGTTCCATGTCTGCTCCCTGCTCCAAAAGGAAAAACAGTTTCTGTTTCTGAAAAGATGTCAGGAGTGTTTTCAGCTCTAAGTATTTGTCCTTCCTTCCTTCCTTCCTTCCTTCCTTCCTTCCTTCCTTCCTTCCTTCCTTCCTTCCTTCCCTCCTTCCCTCCTTCCCTCCCTCCCATTTTTTCCCCTCTTTAAACTATTTGAAGAGCTTACCTGTGTCTTTCCAGGAATTTCCTGGGCTTCACTGTATAGTTATTTATTCTTTCTCAGTGATGCCCATCACTGAATCCTGTTTTGAGTAAATCAAAATAGAAATTGCAGTGTGATATAGAGCTGGCAGTTTTTTGTAGAAAGGTGTTTTTAATATAGCTATAAATTATTTGGAAAGAGATTTTTAACAGGGTAATGTCCAGCCTTACACACTGAAATATTAAAATGTTACTAATTTAATGTAATACTATAAGTAATGGAAAGTAATCTTTTTTTCTTTGACAGTGAAAGCACGAACTGCCCAATTAGCCAAAATAAAGTGGGTCATAAATATTGTATTCTACATATTGCAGGTAAGTAAATATTTTGTTATGGATGCAACTTAGCCCAAATTCTCAGTAGTGTTACAATTCTCTCCTGGTTTATTGGTCCATATCTGGTCACTCAGGGCTCCGCCATGGCAGGGGTGGCACTGGAGGATCTTTAATTTCCTTCCAGCCCAAACCTTTCTGTGATTCCAGGGTCACAGAGTTTGTCAGACAGAAAGAGTTTCTGGAACTGGAAGGGAAATGCTGCTGATAAAATCTGGTAGTTGAGGATGGAAGGAGTTTAACTTTCATCTCCACTCTGTGTTTCTGGTTTTGGGGGGACAAGCTCTTTAATCACTGGGTTGTTTTTTTTTTTTAATATGGCCCCAAACCCAGGAAAGTTCTGCTACATGTAAATATAATTCTAGCTTTGAAACCAAAATGTACTTCTGCTGAGGATGCAAATCTCCAGCTACAGCTGCCACACGTTTCCCCACGGTGCCTCATCAGATTGTCTGAGCAGTTCTGATGTGATGCCAAAGAATTTGCTAACGAGGATGGCACTGGTCAGCCTGAAGATTTCCTTAGGGGACTGTTGAAGTGAGTTGCACTCCTTGTAGGCAAAAATTCAAACTAAAAAGGGTCATCAGAATTTTAACAAATGCTAGGACTGTGTTTGACTCTGCTGGATTGGAAAGAGGGTCTTGAAAGCAAACAAGTTCTCCCTGCAACCTCGTAATATTATGTATAAATTTAAGATCATATGAAATCTAAAAATATTCTGAAGAAGATAAAATAACAAAGAAACAATTCCAGATAGCACTGGGACTGTACTTTGATGTGTGTAATTATCCAGACTAATAAAAAAATCCCCATTCCAGGCTGCCCTGATGATCTCTCTGATCTGGAAGTACTACTCCGAGCCCGTCACCGTGCTTCCAAGCAAGTGGCTGGCTCCTCTGGAGCGCCTGGTGGCCTTCCCTACAGGAGTGGCAGGTGAGGAGGGGGACATTGCCAAGCCCCAGAGCATCCAGGGATTCACAGCAGCTCCTTCTCTGACTCCCAGAGCAGAGGGTTCTAATATTTGAGCAGCTCTTCTATGTGTGGTTCTGGTTTCTTGAACTGAACACGGAATTTTGTCATTTTTATTTCCACCCAAACAGAGCATTGCCCTTCTCTGTATTGAATAGACCCTGGGGAAGGTTTAAATGAGAAAATCAGAAAATCACCCAAAAGGGAGTTTTCTTCACAGGTGTGCTATTAACAGCTATGTGCTTACAAAACAACTGATTTCAATTTCAGAGGAAATTTACTTTTTACCTCTCAAATCCTGAATTTAAGTTCAAGGAAAGCATTCTTCCAGGCCTTAAACTTAGATTTTCTTTTGAGTCTGTATCTGATGGTTTTTCCTCTGGGATGCACTCACCACCCTTTAGCTCATATTGTTGTATTTGGTGCTCTTTTTTCCCAAGACAATCCAGAATTTTTTGGGACCAGCATTAATTTATCTCCCTTGTGCATGTAAAGAGTTTATTTCCTGTTGGCCTCATGAATTCTGAGTTTCATTTTTTACACTTCCAAGGTTGTTTGCAGCTGCACAGGTTCCTCAGGGCTATTGATCTAACAACTTCAATCTTGGTTTCTCCCTCTTTTCCAGGAGGTGTGGGAATTACCTGCTGGCTCGTGGTCTGCAATAAAGTTGTAGCTATCATGCTGCACCCCTTCAGCTGAAGGAATCCCAGCAATCCATGGACTGCCCAGCTGCATTTACATAATCACTGCTTTAAATTAATTAAAAAAAAAGGGGGGACAGTTATCTTTTATGAGACAAGGTCTGAGACAATCCTTGTTACTCCATTTGGATATCTGTCAGTCCTTTTGATTCTTTTGATTTCACTTCCCAGAGTTTGTCTTTCATTTTGGAAAGAACAGCATTGCTGGTTATAGAACCTCATTTTGGGTTTAGTCATGGCAGAACCATAAGGTTTTGTCGTGGCCTGTTGTCACCAACATGTAAAAGTGTTGGATTTGTGGTTTTAAATTGGAAATATGCTGGCTTTAGGAATTAATTTGGGAGCTTGGCTGTTTCTTTGCTGTGAGATGTGGTAGCTTCACCCCGAGGTGGGACCATGTTGGGTGGTGCAGGGGGCAGAGAGAGGTTGTTTGCTTGGCTTGGGGAAAAAGAGTTTCTTTGTGATTTTTTTACCCTAAAATTGGTGAGCTCTCCTAAAAAATAGGTGAATTAAATCAAGATTTTTATCTCTTAAGAGGTTTCTTCAGCTGCCAAGCACAGGCTGCTGTCAATGAAGTAGAAGACAGTGCTGTTGCTGCAGGGAGATGCTGATTTAGCTTCCCACTCTGGAATTCCCAGAGCAATGATCCCTTCTGCTATTCCAGGACCTTTTCCTCTCTGCAGGAAGGAAGGGGCCAGGACCCCTCCAGAACTGGCACTGCCTTTAAAAACCAACTCAAAATGTCAGTTTGTGTTGTGTGTATATATATAAATTTTATTTTGTTTGTTTGTTTCAATGTTAATTTATTGGGATTTTATATTAGGAATTGCATTTAGCCAACATGAAAATAAATATCAAGGAAAAAAATGTTGTGATTGGATGTTATGTATAATTGTGATTTTATTAAGGAAATAAAGCTTTTCAACCCAACTTAGGTTTTTTCATCTCTTTTTTAATGTTAACAGCAATTTTGCTAAACAACCCACAAAAACCCCAAAGAACAAACCCAAACTGACAAAACAAACCCCAAACTCACCAAAATCCATGCGAAAACAACAGCCCCTGTGTTTGTGCATAAGGAAATACTGTTTGAATCAACTCAACTAATTTATTTTTTAAACTATTTGAAATGTTGCTGCAATAGGTTCAGCTCTGAATGTCTTTGTCATCTTTAAAAGCTTTTGTAGTGTAATTTTGGACATTTTTTTGAACTGCTACTGCCTTTAAAAATTAACAGAATGTCCCTAATTTTTCCAAACTTCAGATGAATTAAGCAAGTGCTTAATAAATTAGTGTGAGGAGCAAAACACAATCCTCCTCCCCTCGCTTACATAACCTTAAACAAGGATTTTTAGAGGCTTTTTGGGGACTGGCTATGCCTGACTTCTCCAAAACAATGCTCTCCTCTTGCACATTGATCTCTGGATGTCAGCTGGGGAAGTTACCAGGCAAACTGCTTTGATAAGTTCCAACAGTGGGAAAGAATGAGGCTTTAGAGGTTCCTAATGCTCGTGAAAACAATGTAGGAGCAAATTATTTTTATTATCTGTGAATTCTGGAAGCTGTTTGGGGAGTGAAGGAACTAAAAAAGTGTTTTCTTTTCTTGCATTGTTGCTTCTCACCCAGCAGTGAACCTTAGGAAAGCTGGGTGCTCATGTCAGCAAGCTGACAACCACTCAGCTTCTAAATTCCAGCTCCTTGGGAATGCAAAAACCTGGAAGTTCCTAAAGAAGGACTAACTTTTACCTGGTAACAGTTAAAAATGATAAGGAATTCTTAATCCAACACACGAAGCACAGAATGTGTTTTTTGTGACAACTGATTGGATTGTTTTGGAAAAAATCACGGAAAGCAATTGCCAGTGCTTGTAAGATTTAACAAACATTTAATGAAAGCAAAACATTTGGTTTGTAACAATGTGAATGTTTAAACTTTCTAAAGGTAAGCTGATGTACCTAACTATCAGGACGAATTGTGGAGTAACTCAGGAGCTGGTTTTACCGAGGAGAGCTGCACCCTGGCATGGAGTTTGGGATTTGCCTTGCACCCCTCACTTGTCTGCCTTCACCCTTGTGCTGCTGGAACTCCAGGAGTTGTCTCCTTGCAGACATTCCTCCCCCAAGAGCTCCTTCATCAAGCGTTTCTTCCCCTCCAGAGGCGCTGTCCTGCCGGCCCAGGGGGGTTTGCCCAAAAGAAGGTTCATAAGCCCCAAAGGAGATTTTCCCCCTGGGCACAGCAGTGTCACTGCAGCTCTGCCCTGCCTGTCTCTGGCTCTTCAGGCAGCTTTTTCCAAATCCTGCTTTGCACTTGGCACCTGAAGTGTGGAGCCCCCGGTGCAAATTCTCAGTGGCTGCTGAGAAGATGTATTTCTTTTTCAGCCTAGTGGGGTCTTTGCTTGGACTTGGACCTTCATTCCTGGCTTTCTTCTTTTGCTGCTCAAAGGGTTTTTTCTTTTCTTTTTCAGCTTCTTCCACTGCCTCTCCCTCTTGATTGTTCTCTTTTTCTCTTTGAGCATTTTTTTCGGATTTCATCAGAGTTTTCAGCTCCTGTTTAAGAACCTCTGTCTCTTTCTCCATTTCTTTAATAAATTCTGAAAATTTGTGTTCTTCCATCAGGAGTTTGTCCCCTGAAATATTGTAGGGTTTAAGAACATGAGGAGTTTTAAAAAGAGCAAGTATGACATCCTTATTTCAATTATTGATGATATTTCAAATACCATCTATAATAAATACAACAGCATGGGGCAAGATTTAAATGACATCATTCTGCCACTGAATCCAGGTTAATATATATATTTTTTTTACTTTTTTTTCATGGTGTTGAATTTAGTTAAATGGATTTATCTGCCATTATGTACAGTAATGACTAAACACAGTGCCAGAAAAATCATGTACAATGCAACAGAGAAACCAGGTGAGATCTGAACTCCTAGTTGTCACATTCTGGCATTTGAGTGGAACTTATGGGATATGCAGGATTTCCTTTCCCTTAATTCACAACACAGAGTTGCTTGTGTGGAGGAGAATATACAGCAACTCTCACTTGGGAATGAGGGGGCTCCACTTTTCAGCAGGAAAAGGAACATGTGTGCAGAAATGCCATTTTCTGTGCAACTTCTAATGGTTCCTGTACTCTGCAGAGACTCACAGAGTACCCCCAAAATGAGACATAATCCAAGCTTAAAGGAGACATAAGAAGTTGCAGGAACTAAAAAAGCCAAGTAAGGCTTCAATAAAAGCCTTCTTACTTCTGCTATCAGTGAGAGAAACTCAGGTTTCACAGATTTTTCAGAGGGAGCATTGTAAGACCTGTGTTTTCTGTCAGTTTTAAAAGGGCATTTTAAAGACAAATGCTGACTTTGGTTGTCTGGGGAGCTCTGGAAAGGCTGCAGGCTGAACAGGCAGAGTACAAACCTCAGGAGTTAACACAAGCCAGGTTACAGGGATGTGACTTGGCATCACCTGTTCCACCTGGGCAAATGTGTGACCTGGAGGTCTCCTGCCACTCAGATCTTTTCTTTTCCTAAAAGCCTTAAAGGAAATAACAGGAATGTTTCTAGAAATAAAAACGTGAATGAGGGAACAGCAGTGGCTTTTTCTCTCCTCTGTTCTGTAGAATTTGTTCAGAAAAAAAGATGATTAGCAATGAGTCCCTTGCATGTAACTTTTCCATGAGAAAACAGTGGCTGAGATTTCCATAAAATCTCTTTCCAGGGATCACTAATGAGAAATTGCTCCCAGGCCTCACAGTCCTTTTCCTTTTCCAGCCATGGAAATAGGTCCACATCAGTGATGAAGATTCCCAGCTTTGAGATCAGTGTTTGATTAGTGTGGATTAACACTGTTCATTATCCTGTTACAGACAGAACACTGAATTTTTACCACCCTGAGCCTTGGGAAGAACAGCAGGGTGGAGATGCCACATCCTGCAGGGCAGCTCTGCTGTCAATGCAGCACCACCAGCAGCTGCATTTTCCAGCCCAGATGATTCTGTGTTTTCAGTGACACCTCATTCATCATTTGGAACTCGTTCCTGTCAGCCAGGTGCCAGTGAAGGGCTGTCAGAACCACACAAATTACTAGGATTCCTGGTAATTAGCAAAGACCAGGTGAATTTCTGAGAGAAATATTAAACCTACCTCTGTGAGTGCTGTTTGAAGTTTCTGGCACTTTCTTGGTTGCTTGCTTTTCTTTTTTACCCTGAGCATCTGAGCACACTTCCTTTGCATTACCTTCTCCACCCTTATCTTCTCTGTTCTCCTACAATTGGCAATTAAAAGTAAAAATAATGAGGGAATGCTTGTTTAGTGACTTTTAAAAGAACACAATCAGTGCAATACTTACAAAAAGATCAGTAATTTCTATTGCTGTTACATTATATTTTGCATCACAGCATTATTTCTGTACCATGCAAAATCCCCATCCCAGATGATGGATCAGGCTATCCAGGCATTACTGCAACTTAGGGAATAAGATACATCTTAGCTGAGAGTTTAAAGAGGGAATTGGATTTGGATCCAGATCTTTCCCACCTTTTTTAGCTGGATTGGATTTTTTTCTGCTTCCTGGTGCTGAGACAGCAGCAGCTCTCTAAAACTCTCTTTATCTACTTGTACTGATCTGTCTACTCTCAGACCTGTGGAATATGACAAACATTAGCAGTACAGTCATTTCTGAATTAGGTTGTTGATATAAATAAAAAATATCTCTGACAACTGACAATACTGTTATGTGACCAAGAATTTTAACTTTTTTTTTAAAAATGCCCTTTGAAAAAGAAATAATTTGTTCTGCTGCATCTATAAATGCTGAAACTGGACACAAACCTGGATTTCTGAGACTTTTCGTCTGTACATCAGTGCATCCTAAACATAAGTATATACATAAATATATATATTAAAATGTACTACAAAGTATATTTTCAGTTAGAAGATGTAAAGTCAGAAAAGTGTGTCTATGCCCCAGAGCCCACATGGGCTTAATTCTTGGTTCCATTCTAGTGTAAATTTGAGAGGTCTGCTATGAAGTCTCAGAGTTCAGTTTCCTAAATTAGGATCTGAATGGAACCCAGCTCATGGGGAATGCTTAACCCTGTTTGAAATATCAGTGGTCTCTGGAAGAGATTCCAAAGGAGTGACTGAATGAGATGTTCAGAGAAATATGGATAGAATATGGAGAAGATGAGTATATTGTTCCTTTATTATTGGAATAATTTTCACACTGGCATAGCAGCTGAGAAATTTGTTACCACCAGAGCAGCAAAACCAGGATCTTACACATCCACACTCACCCTTATTCCCAATTTTGAGCTCAGAAATCAAAGGATAAAACGCATAAAATGGTGCCCTCTGAGCGCTGGCAGCTGGGCGGTGGAAGGGAAGCTGGTGCCCCGGAGTGACTCTGGTGATGGGGGAGGAATCGGCTTCCCAGTCCCAATTTCTCCGGGAGCTTTTCCAGCCGGGAGCAGTGGGACGTTCCCCGGCACCGGGAGCAGGGGGCGCTGCCCCCCCAGGTGAGCTCCCGCCCGGAGCTGTGCAATCCACGGCTCCATCCAAAAAATCCCTTCCAGTGACGTGCACACAGCTTTCCGACCACCTAAGGAAGCCTCTCTCCAGCCCCGCTAGAAAAGCCCAGCTCCAAATTTCCTGCTGGCTAAAAAAATTTTTGTGGATGTCAACTAGAAAAGAATGACCTGAAGAGGTAACTCGTCCAAATTTCCTCCTGGCTAAAAAAATTTTTGTGGATGTCAACTAGAATGACCTGAAGAGGTAACTCTTCAGAAATCTGCAAAAGGAAAATTCAAGTCAATAGTGAAAAGGAGAACAAATTGTCTGCAGTTCCAGCTCTGGGTTTCCAAATCCATTAACTGGCAGAGAATGAAACATATTTCTAAAAATTCCAGAGGAATGGGCAACTTTGCTTGGAAGCTTTTCATTACAAAATATCATGTCTCTCTTCAACTAAGCTCCCTTATCTTGATTAAAAGAAAGAAGAATTGAAATAATAACAGTGGTTCAAGTACCATAATTGAATAGCAATATTCAATTTGTATCGAATACAAGGCCATATATGAGTATATGAGTAATAAAAATGTAGTTATGTGGTGTAACTAAAACAGGAATTCAGAGTTTTATAAAAAATGTGTCTGACTTGGGATGAGAACAAGGAATTTGTGCTTTTCTTAATTTACACCTTAAATTACCAATCTTTTCCCTGTAGTTCACTGGTGGTTTGGGCAGAGTTAATGGGTTTGCAAAGGCAATGAAGAGGTAAGAATAAGCAACTGAGTGTGGTAAGATTTTGTATTGCTGCCACAATTTGAGGAATTCTGGGGGGAGCATTTCCAGCAGACAGGTTTGCTAAGGGCTCTTTGGTACCCACATGGAGGAAGTCCTGACTGCTGCTTCACTTGAGGAGCAGCAATACCTGATCAGTGTTTTCAAGAGGTGCCTCAGCCAGGGAAGTCCATGTTTGGTTCATTCCATCCCAAATTCTGGGTGTAGTGGAGGCAAACTGGGGCATCTCAAACAGCACTGGTTGGTTTTAATCAGCTGAATCCCACTCCAGGCAGCTGCCCTTGGGATGTTGGATAGCCAAGACTGCATGGAATAAATATTTCTCCCAAATATCTGTAAGCATCCATGTGAAATAAATATTCTTTATTAAAGAGCTTTTTCTTCCTTGGTAGAATTTAATTGATGTTGTTATTTTCTATCATTCAAGCCTTTAAACTTCCTGAACCTTTTCACCTTTTCAGCCCACACAAAAGCACTATTTTGGTATTTAATTAGGAATAAACCTCCCAGTTCTAAAACAGTGGAAGTGTCACTTAACTAAACAGGAAAAGAAGATGGTTACAGACATACTTTGGTCATTAGGAACCCAATCACTTCTGTCCCTCAGGGCTTTTGGCATCCGATTTGCATAAATATTCTGTACATAAAGTTGCCGGTCCTTTTCCTAAAAAGAAATAAACATTATTAAGCTTCTAGTATGCATTAAAAATTACTTTTTACCTGCTTAATTTTCCCATGCTGGGTGAAACCTATCAGGGGTTTTCTTTTGCCAGAACCACATGGTCTTTGTCATTTACATTTTTTCAGACTAAATATTTTTTGCCTTTACTTCCTCTTTTTTGTATATTTTTTTAAAAATTCATTTACCCAGTGCCCTTGTTGTATGCTCATTTGGTTCACAACCTGTTGCTCTGATGGTGACATGAACTCCTGAGGCACATTTTGACATTTATTTATTAGCAAGATTCCTCTTTCTTTAATGAAATCTTCCTTGAACACAGAAGACAGATCTCAGTTACACTTTCACCACTCCAGCTTTCAGTGGGAAAAAAAGAGGAGCTTCATTTATTTGGGAAAATTACAAGTTATCTTGGAAGTGGAATGGCCTGAAATAAGACAGGTGCATAAAACTATGAATTTGTAAGGATAAACTCTGTTCTGGCACAGAAATAAGGTCTGGTCTTCTTTGTGGTAAATCAATAAAAGATTTTGTGGATCCCAATAGAAAATCCAGAGACCTGGACACACAGAAAACTGTGTGGAAAAGAGATGAAACAGAACTATTTTAGAGAAGAGTTAAGGTGAGAATAATTTAGAATAATTTGCATTTTGGGACAGATTTCTATTAGTGTTCCTGAGATTATAATTGTTCCCATCTGCTAGATCTGCATGTCCAGGAGGAGATGAGACTCTGACAGGGAAAAAAACCCTGCCAAGTACCAGGAGGAAACTGGAATTTAAGCAAACTCTTGAAACATTTCCACAGCTCTTCTTGTTAAACTCTAGTTTTGTAGGTTGTAATATTTGGCTCATTTTGACTTGTTTCTGTGAGGGAGCTCATTTAAAGTGAGTAGATTAATATATCTGACTCCAATCTGACAAAATGGTAACATATTGGCCAAATTGTGGATTTTGGTTCAATTTCTGATGCATTAATCTCTGTTTCAATTTATTATTGACCTGCTTCTAACAAATAGACCCCCCCAATAATGCCAGAATTTCACATTTCTGGCTTTTTTAGTAGATTATAGACTCAAGCAGGAAACCAAATTCAATTAGTAAAGACTGCAAAAGAAGCAAAGGAATAGGTAACATTAAATACTTGAATTTTCCTGTAAAGACAGAAACCTGGATAAAATATGGAATACCTTAATTTTTTGGTGAACAATGTTAATTTCCATTAGCAAGTTCTTTGTGGTCATTGTAGCTTCCAGGAGTTTTTTGCTCTTACTTGCCAGCTGATGACTAAAGGTGCAGCTGTTCATCTTCAGCTGCATTTCCAGACTCTTAAAAAGGGACAGATTTCACCATTCTCAGTGTGACAGTTGGAAAACTTCAGATCTTGACTGATTTAAAATAAAAGTGTGCTAATATAAGGAAGTTTAAGCTTATAATTGTATATAATAACAGTTATTATCTTCTCATTATAGTGATACAAATAATATTATAAATTATGTTGTAAATAATACATGAAACTATACTAAAGTATCTGAAAAATGAATTTCAAAGTAAGAAAAAAAATTGTTTTTAACCTATCTTCACTAAACAAAAGAAAAGATTATGGCATTCAATCATAAAAATAAGGTTGTACATTACCTTTCTGGTGGATTAATTAATACAACTGTCTTTGAGAAATGTTAAGGCTTTCTATTCACAGAGACCTATGAACTGTAGCAGAATAAGGAGGCTTAGTGTAAATGAAAATTTGGTGATTTATTGGGTTCTTTATCTTCAGAACCCAGGGCCATGCACTGAAATTCCAGTTCCTAAAAGTATCAGGTGGACACCCAACCCTGTGTGATTTTATAGCTCCTCCCTCCTAGAAAAAGAAAGTTTTTAAAAGACAGTCTGAATTCAGCCCTTCATATTTACAGTTTCTCTTAAGATTTCCTAGCTCTTTATTTAATTCTATGCATAATAGGCTCCATAGGAAATAGAAATGAATTCCTGGAGGACCATGGAAATTTCACTCTTCCAGTTTTGTAGTAAAAAGTGTGTTCCCATCTTTTTTTGTGCCAGGGTCAGTGAGAGTAAAGGAACATGAGATACTAAAAGGAGATTAATTATCTCCTCTTGAACTTCCTTACACTCAGGAGAGCACTGGATAAACAGCATCCAGTGTTACAGGATTATATAAGAACATTTATCTGATAAGAAGCAGCCAAAACTTTTCCACTATTCCTGCACTGAAACCTCTCCTGCTCAACGATCCTTGTGATTCCCTCCCAGTTTAGGATATTCTGTGACCCTACACTCCCCAAATACAATAATTTTCAGGCATTTACCTGTATCCTCTCATCCTTTGCTTCCAATGTTTCGTTAAGGACCGACAACCTGCGATGAAGTTCCTCCTTCTCTGCCAGAGCTTTGTCTTCTGACAGCACAGCCAAAGCCTTCAGATCACCTTTAGTTCTCCTCAGCTCCGCTTCAACTTTTTTCAGCTCCCTGGCTGTGTTTTTCTCGGCCTCCTGGGACGTTTTCAGGAGGTTCCTGAGCTCTCTCATCTCGTTGCGATGCCCTGCCAGCAGCTCCTGCAGGTGGCTCTCTGCGCTGCTGTACCTGCCGATGGCTCTGCCGTGCCGCCGGTTCAGCTCTTTCAAAGCCAGGTTCTCGAAGCTCGAGGTCTCGATTTTCCTTTGCAAGTCGAATATTTCGTTCTTCAGCTCTTTGATTTTGTGGATCCTGGCTGAGGATATTCGCTGGGCAGTGGCGTTTTTGTCCTGGTAAACCACCCCGCTCTGCAGGGGTGAAAAGGAGTTCAGGTTGGAGGTGTTTGCAGCTGGCCATTTCTTCACTCCTGCATTCAGATCAGAGGCAATTGGCATTGAGAGACAGAAATTATTGGAGACAAATCAATCACTGTGTGCTTTTTCTGCTCACATAAACTCCTACTACTAATTAACTACTACTCCTAAACTGCTCATCCAACTACAGAATTGTGGTTTCTTCACAAAATGCCCCAAAACTCTGATATTCAATGAGAAGCCTGGTCTAGGGGAAGGTTCCCTGCCCATGGCAGGGGGTGGAACAAGATGAACTTTAAATTCCCTTCCAACCCAGATTATTTTAGGGTTGTGTGATTCAAATGATTCACAGATAAATGCATAAAAATATTTTATATCTCTGTGTCTTTCTGTGTCTGCAGCAGACCACAGCTAGGAGCCAATAGAAAAAAAATGGAAATGAATGAATGGAAATCAATTTTCAATCCACGGAAATCAGTTTTCTTCCTGTAAATCATGCACTTCACTAACGTAGCCACAATGTGATGAACCCAATTCAACCCATCAGGATCTACACCTTGAATAGGTGCATGATAAAAAATAAAACCAACCAACCAACCAACAAAAAACAACAAAGTAATTTACAGGCCTGCAAGGACTCAAAAACCAACATGCTCCCATCAGCACATGGTTGAAATCCCTGCAGCTGGGATTTCTAACCAGTTTTCTACAGCTTTCCAGTCAGCTTTGAATTAAAGCACATTTTTAAATAAACCTTAAATGCTCATTGCATAGAACAGGTGTGCTGTTGTCTATGTGGTTTCTAAACAGCAATTAAAAATATATTAATGGGCTACTTCTCAGTGTGTTGCTGCCATTTGCCTCTCCTTATGGCCAGGATTCTGGCTGAATTACTCTCATTTGCTTTTCCTGAAGCAGGATTAGAATTTAAAAATACTAAAGCCTGTAAATCTGAGTGTGTTCCCCTTTTTCAGGCATATATTCATGTCATTTCAGGCAGTATTTTGCTAAAAAGTTTATTATAATTTATAAATCACCTCATATTTTATGGGTAACACAGGCAAGGTCCTGACTAGAAAAAAAACCACCAGAATAAAAAGACAGATCTTTCCAAGAATTTCTGTTGAATCCAATATTTTCTGCAACACAATTCAACTGCAGGAAAACTACAATAAGACCACAAATATTGTCACACAAGTATTTGTAAAATTACATTATCTTACTATTTTATTTTGCCAGAAAGGACTGAGAGGATGGGAAAAAAGGGCAAATACCTTTCTGCAAAAGCTGTCAGAAGAACTGTAAAATGTATTTCATTTCCAGTAGTCATGGACAAGCAAAAAGAAACACTTTATCCAGATGAGATATAACATCAACATTATATATAAGAAATTACCCACCACAGGTAGGGGTCAGTAATGATTTTTTGCTAACTAGATATAAAAAATGTCATTATTTTTTCTGCTCTGCTACTTTCATGCAAGTATAACTTTTTGACAGCAGCATATAATAACAGAGGTTATAACAGAGACAATTAGTTGTTCTTCTGGCTTTTTTTGGATTGATTTCTATCTTGTAGCTTTGGTAAATCAAGATGAAATTTTGAAGCCCAGCAGGAAAAGGGTTGCTGGTTTTCCACTCGTTTTTGTGATGTGGCCTGGTAGAATTTAGGGATTTAAGAAAGGATGGGTCTAGATGGGAAAATGCAGACACGGAGAGATTCCTGACTGTTAAAAGTGGCATAAATTCGATGTAAGTTTACATCTTCCTTCTCTCTGCTCATTCCATTGGCACAAATTCATTTCACAGGATACACCACGACCCAGCTGGCCATAAAATGGCTGTTTTCTGGTCAAAACCAACATTTTGTGTATTATTTTTACCCACTTTCATTAAGAAAGGCTTTTTCAGACTCGTCAGGTGATGCATGGTTAGACATCAAAATGTGGCAGAGCCATTGTCAGGTCCTTGGGTTAAAGCTGAGGATGAGAATTGCCAAGGGCTCCCACATCCCAGGGGATTCTCCCTTTGGATCACTGAGTATTGTGGGATAACACAGCAGGGAATCTCTCTTTCTCTTCCCTCCCCTTACTGGTGTTTGAAATAGGATTTATTACATATATGCATTTAATATAAAAATTATATATATAAAATATATAAAATCTAATCTATAATATATAATCTGATATATAGTATATAATAATTCTATAGAAAAATGATATAATATATAATATTTATATACAGAATTGTTCTATATTTTATATAATATTATATATAATATTATTATACACAATAGAATACATATTTATTAGATTATAGATTATAGATCACAGATGGTATATACAAAATAAACATGTAATATATATTATTATATTTATTATGCCAATCCTCCTTTCACTGAAAAACTGTTGTCCTTGTCTTGCTAATTATTAAAAAAAAAAAAAAAAGCCAAAGAAAGGGAACAATGATATTTCTTAAGAGAGTCTCATACTACTGGAAATATCTCATACTACCAGAAAACAAAATTTACCTTTTTTATCACCTTGGGCATAGAGACACTGTCCATATTTTTTTCTTTCCTTTCTTGTCTTGTCCTTTTTCTGTGTTTCCCTCTCTTCGGTTCCTGGTGTTTCTAAAGGTTTCCCTCCTCTGACTCTTTCAGGGTCAGTCACTGAAAAAGCTCTTGGAATCATCCCTGGGAGAATGTTCACTTGTGTCTTCTCCAAGAGGTCACCACCCTACCTGGGATTTCACAGTATTTCATGTCATAAAAACATCATTAATCACATTTTTCAAGAATTGGACAGCAAATCACATCACAAAATTAACTAAACCCTTAAAAACAGCACAAAAACCACCTTAGCTGCCAGATTAACACTCTAACCAGAGGATAGAGCAGAACCTAAAACTATTTTTATATGCTTGTAAAAAGCATGTATTTAGCACAAAATAAATAATTCTAAGTAATTTTCTGGGTCTTTCTGAATAACTGTTTTTTTTTTTTTTTCCCTTTTTTCCCCCCATTTTTTTTTTTTTTTTTTTTTTTTTTTTTTTTCCTTGCAGAGGCTACTGGGAAGTTCAAGAACAGATCAGTTTATTCTCCTGGCAGAATTATTTCAACACTGTAGTTCTGGTAAAAAACTATTTTTTGGGATATGGCTTGATGCCCATTCAATTTTCGTATTATGTTCCAATCCACTTCAGATGAGGAGAGGCAAGTTTTGCCTTGAGCCACAATTGTGGAAAGGAATTAGGTTCTAAACATACCTGAAAACGAGATTAAAACACAGAAGAGGTTAAGTGCTGGGACCCAAAGTGATAATTCAACTTTTATTTCTTGCATAAATAGAAAAAAAAAATTAGAAAAGTAGGAAAATATTTGCTACCAGGGGATTTTGAGAGTGGCAATGTCACATTCACCTCACAGCAACCACACAGCCACAGAGAAATTCATCTTTGCTCCCTTAAAATTCATTTATAAACAAAGAATCTTGCACAGAAGCAGGATAAATTGTATCCTTTGGGGGTCTAAAAGGAGCATGGCAACTGGAAAGGAAATTTGAGGGAGTTTAAAATGGTGTTTTAGTTCACATGGGTTTTAACATGTCCCCTTCACTAACAGAATATTAAACTATTTTCTTAAAAGCTTCTAACTCCTTGTGTTGGCTTTTTTGCTTTCTGCTGGCATTCCATTTTCAATTAAATTTCTTAAATGGGAGAGGGGAATCACATAGCTCCCAAAAAAATTTAAAAAACGTAATTCAGGATTGCACAGGACATTTTAGGTTGAATCAAAACAGTTTCATTACTCTTAATTCCTTTGCATGAGTAGTTTTTCCTTGTGGAATTCAGAGGAATGCCACAGTCCTGCTAAATCTGAGGCAGTGCAATAACCCACAAGAGATGAGAAATCTTATTTTGAGCATTAGGCAAAGCCCAGGTTGGTTCGCAGACCTGTACTTGTGTTAAAATTTGATTTGGTACTGACAACACTTTCTAGGCAAATTGTCTTTAAAGCAAATTACCTAAAATGAAACTTAAAACTACTGCTTTAATTTCTTTTGATGAGAAGCGTGGCCCGAATCTACTCGTCCAGAACAGCTGTTGAGAAGTAAATAAAATAGAGAAGGAGAAGACAGGAAAACCAAAGATGAAGCAGAAGAAATAGAGATATGAAATGAAAGATACAGCAATAGAATTAAAAAGTCAGGAGCTGGAATGGACAAACTCCAGGACAATTTCTGTTGAAAAAGTACAGGAATTAAAATTATTAGAATGAAAATCCTGTGTCAAAGATGAAAATGTCCTGGCACCCTGACAGTGTCTGCCTGGACACACAAACCCCACACCCAGCCCCATGTCCTGGCAGCTCCCTCAATGTCCCAAAACCCCACACCCAGCCCCATGTCCTGGCAGTTCCCTCAATGTCCCAAAACCCCAAACAAGCTCCATGTCCTGGCACCCCCTCCATGTCCCACAACGCCAAACCAGCCCTGTGTCCTGTCAGTCCCCTAAAATGTCCCACAACCCCAAACCAGCCCCATGTCCTGGCAGTCCCCTCAGTGTCCCACAACCCCAAACCAGCTCCATGTCCTGACACCCCCTCCATGTCCCACAGCGCCAAACCAGCCCTGTGTCCTGTCAGTCCCCTAAAATGTCCCACAACCCCACACCCAGCCCCATGTCCTGGCACCCCCTCCATGTCCCACAACCCCAAACCAGCTCCATGTCCTGGCAGTCCCCTCAGTGTCCCACACCCCCAAACCAGCTCCATGTCCTGGCAGTCCCCTCAGTGTCCCACACCCCCAAACCAGCTCCATGTCCTGGCAGTCCCCTCAGTGTCCCACACCCCCAAACCAGCTCCATGTCCTGGCAGTCCCCTCAGTGTCCCACAACCCCACACCAACCCCATGTCCTGGCACCCCCTCAATGTCCCTGCTGGACACACAGTCCCACACCCAGCCCCATGTCCTCCCATCACCCCTCTCTGTTCTCCGTGTCCCCCTGGCTCCCACAGGTGTAGGATCCCACCTTGTCCCGTGTCCTTCCTGGGAATCTCTCCCTGCTCCTACCCCAGTGTGTGCTGTCCCCTCATGGCCTCAGCAGCCACCATCACCGGCCTCCATCCCTGCTGCTGTGGGAAATGGCAGCAGCACCCTGGCAGTGGCGTCTCACCCTTTTCCTCCCTCTTCTCTCACCGCAGACAGAGGAGCCTGTGTGTGTATTTCCACCCCCATATTTCAGTACCATTCCAGGGTTTTAATGGGAATTTTGAGATGTGGGTTCTGCTGTGCCCTGGCCATGGAGGCGCCTCAGGGCCTGGACGCGCCCTCAGAGCGCACAGGCCGGACCCAGCAGGCTCCAAACTCGGCGTTAAACTCAACATTCTTAACTTGAAAAAGGGGAAAAATCCCTTCAGAATGAAGTCATATTTTCCATGGAGGCTGCACACAATGGGAGGTGTGACCCAAAGCCCTTGGGAATGGCATTTCCATGTGTGGCTCAAAGAGTGTTTCAGGTATGAAGCCAAACAGGAGTGAGAGTTCATTGGCAATTCTGTTCCAGATTTGACCACAGATGTTTGGTGGTGCAAATATTTACTGCTTTGACTTTGACTTTTGTGACTCTTGCGGATGGTGCTGTGCAGGGCCATCAGTTGGACTTGAAGATACTTGTAGATCCCTTCCAACTCAGCTTATTCTGTGATTCTCTGATAAATTATTAACATCATTATCACAAGGCTGATCAGTATGCTGCGAAGCCCAGGACTTTTTCATCCTTTGGTTGTACTTCTTCAGAGCACAGAAAACCAAATAACTTGGAAACATTCTATTCCAAATGGCCAGTCTTTTCCCAGACTATACTCACATATAAAATCTCCTGGGAAACAAGCATGTGTAATAACTTCAGGCAATAATTAAAGTTTTCTCACTTGGGTTTTTTTTTTTCATGGTTGTTGTTCTTTTTCAGGAAAATACTCTGAAAATACCTACTTCTAATAGGCTTGTTGCTGGACCTCCTGTTACCCCTCAAAAGTAAAAAAGAAATGACAGATGGTGAGCCACAGTAAACTACCCATACTGTTATTTTTAGTTTTCAGTGCAGTTTTTCAGGATCCTGTTTCCATACATGGAGTACTGCATTTCCCACTTCACATACTGGTTAATAGAGACAAAACACTTCCTTTCAACAGCATTTTTACTCTTTATAACTGTAAAGAGTAAAATTTTTACTCTTTTAAAAACTCAACAGCATTTTCACTCTTTATAACTATGTAATAGGGTATTTAGTCCTATCTAATAAATTCTGGAAATAAAGTATTAAAGTATTATAATTACTTTGTAATATAAATTATAGTTTATATTATGAAGTATAATGTAATAATTTTAAGTGTTTTCAGGATCAGACATTACTATATTCAATCTTAACATGTGAAACATGTTTTTCTAAAACCTCGTCCAGTTTCACCTCTGGCACAGGGTCAGCTTTACTAAGCTCATGTTGCTCACAGCACAAACAGACTTGGCCCTTAAAATTTGAAAATAATCTGTGACCATTTAACATTCTTCAAATACCTCTCATGCCCAGAGACCTCCCTCAGCAAGTATGTGCAGGCAGGCACTGAATTGTGGTGATTCTGGGGTAGAAGGTGACAACCAGATGGAAAAAAAGAGCATCCTGGGTAATACAGGAGAATGGGAATATTTTTTGCCAAGTATTCTGGACCTCTTCTTACACCTCCTTTGATGCAAAAAATAAGAAAATGCACCAATATGTTCTGGTTGCATCGAGTCAGGCAAAGCAGTAGCAGGCAGTGTCAGACACACATTTATGTCAGGAAAGTCCCTGAGCCCTGCAATGTAGATGATGATCGGAATTCTTTAAAGCTGAGCACAGTTGTAGCCATGGCTTATTTCGATATGATCTCTGCTATAATTACTGCTGCATCTTTGCTGCCCTTGCTTTCCCCTTCCCCTCAAATTTCCAGCTACAACTCCAAAGCCTTGTAGCGATCTGGGAAAGCTCTTTCCCAGGCAACCCGACAGCTTTGGGATTGCCCCCAGCACGAAGCTGCCAGCTCCCCGTCCCTTCTCAGTTGTCCCTTCCCCCTCTCCCAAATATTTCTCCAGCCCTGTCTCATTGGTGCACTACTCTCCCTTGCCTTTTTTGGGCTGCCACCCTGTCAATCTAACGCAATAAGGCCAGGGGCAGGTGCAAACCCCTTGCTCTGGCTCCTCTTACTGACCAATCCTCATCCCAAAATACCCAAGAGCCAATGGAGTGGGAAATCCCGGGACCCCGGAGAGAGGGCAAAGCTGCGGGATAGCTGGGGGGAGGGGGCATCCATTTAGCACCCGGCTTAGCCCAGGAACTGCGGAACATTTGGATTCCTCCGGGGATCGTGGTGACTCGTGGGTAGCAAGGCTGCTCTGCTGATTCACTTCCACCGCTGCCGGCATGGTGATCAAAGTGTTTGTCGCCACATCTTCGGGGTCTACAGCGGTAGGTGACTCCTTTAACATCCTCCTCTTACCGCTGGGATCAGCGTGGCGAATTAGCCTAGGAAATACCAGGAATTTGTGATGAAAAACCCACTGGAATTTTAAGCCGGAATAAACCTTAGTTTTATTCTGACCTGACCACCTTATTCTTGAAAGTTGCTCAAGTTGTAGAGAATTCCTGTCCGTGCAGG